CAAGCTTTCAGTAAGCTTTTGTACAGAAGAAACCAGAATTTCTAATAAAGCATTTTTGCTAAAAATTAACGATTCAATAAAAGAAGATGAGTATTAAGTACTACATGTTGTCTTCGTTTTTTTAATCAAAAACATTACATGCAAAATAACATAACAAATTAACAATAACAAAATAGATAGACGTATATTAACTTTTTTATTTGACTTCTCTTTCCAGCTGCTATTAAGTTGATCAAACCTGAGAATTTGAAAAAGCACTGTACAGTGTTAAGTACTTAAATAAGACAATGTTAGTAATATAGATAATAAATTACAGACAAGACTATTAAACTTTGTAACAAACCGTCTGTATCTAGATACGTATCGTATCAACTACTATGATCCACTGGCTTTACGTACAAAGCGTTAAACCATTGTCAAATTCTGCTTAAGTTAATATGATATTGTTATTTATTATTGTAAAATCTTGCAGGTTGTTATTGTTTCCCATATTTAGAGAAAGGGAAGTGAAAACAATCGCCAAAAGTTAAACCTTAAATTCATATTGATATATTATAACTGTATAAATTAAACAAAAACAGAATTTTAGAATCGAGGAATTTTACTACAGAATCTCTCTTTCTCCCTCGCTTTTAATAGAAATTTCATGCTGTTAGATAATTACTGTAAACATTTCCTGGGTAGTTGTTCTCCTAGTGACTAAGTCTGCAAGCTTACGATGCTAGAATCAGGCTTCTGTACCAGTGGTGGTCAGTGCACAGATAGGCCATTGTGTAGCTATGCGCTTAACAACAATCAAACCTTGAAAGTAATTTTCAACAAGCATATATGATATAAACCTAATACTCGCTACAAATAATATGATATAAACCCAATAATCGCTACAAATAATATGATACAAACCCAATAATCGCTACAAATAATATGATACAAACCCAATAATCGCTACAAATAATATGATACAAACCCAATAATCGCTACAAATAATATGATATAAACCCAATAATCGCTACAAATAATATGATATAAACCCAATAATCGCTACAAATAATATGGTATAAACCCAATAATCGCCACAAATAATATGCTATAAAACCAATAATCGCTACAAATAATATCGCTCGACTGCAGAATGTTTATCTCTCATTTGTCAATGTTTCGCTAGCTTTTGGTTTTCGACACCGTAACTTTAATATCTAATATATTCTATTAGTGGATAGGTTCTTAGTAGTGTTAGAATAATTCTAGTAAATTTTTAGTAATTTATAATTGTCTTGGTTATCTTTTCACACTTGTCATCTGGCCTTTAATTTGATATTAATGCAAATACACGACGACGTTGCACTAGTTATACAACAGGACTATTTTCTCTAACTAATGTTTCACGCGTGTTATCTGGCCTTTAATTTGATATCAATATGAATACACGCCGATGTTGCATTGGTTATACAGCCAGACTATTTTCTCTTTTAGTTTTATCTATTAGGAGGGAACGGAAAACACAAATCATCTTGAAGTTCCATTGCAATATATATATATATATATCAAGAGCAGTGCGACATATATTCAGCCAAGCAGTGCACAAAAAAGCCCCATATATATATGGACAAACTCTATATCATTTGTAAGAAAAACGAGTATCGATTTCTCTCCTTTCCTCTCAGTGACTCTGGATTATCAGTCCCTCCAGAGATCTGGAGTTAAGATACACGGAAATACGTCTAAATTCGACTCCATAGGCGAGCAAACAACACCTTATTCTGAAACTTCGCTTACCCGACGAAAAATCGATCAGCCCACAAAGCATTCTTATCTTTGGGACCATCTCCGCGAGTCGGGAGGCGAAGTTTCTTATCGAGCTCCGGCTTACTATTGGTCGGCGCACCCAGTGAAATTATTTCCAGCTAAAGGAGCCGTTAGGCCTCGTTCCATTTCGCGCTTCGCTGGTGAGACCCGCTGGATGGATTGGTAGATGCGCAGGCTGAGTCTCGAGATTACTCAGGCGGTATCTGAAGGAACTCAACCCGCCTCTTGTGAAACTTTGACCACGTGCAACTGACGTGTGGCCTAACGAGAATTCGCCCCCGTTAGAACACGTTGACACCCCACAACTCCATTCCACTTCTTGTAATGTGATGTCATCGTAGGATTTCGTTTCAATATAAGACGAAACGCACAATCTGATTTTTACGACTAAAACAATCCGCAAGTATTCAAACATACGCACCTTACACGTTGTGTTATTTTGAATGCGTGTAATATGTATCAGTAGTCAGTACAGTTAAAACAGCATAATAACTGACTACTGATACATGTTATACTGTTTTAACTGTACTGACTACTGATACAACAGTTAAAACTGTATAATATGTATCAGTAGTCAGTACAGTTAAAACAGTATAACATGTATCAGTAGTCAGTACAGTTAAAACAGTATGATATGTATCAGTAGTCAGTACAGTTAAAACAGTATGATATGTATCAGTAGTCAGTACAGTTAAAACAGTATAATATGTATCAGTAGTCAGTACAGTTAAAACATTTATTGGACTGTTCTTTTATAATAGAAGTATATGTTAAAAATGTACGCAGGAAATAACAAGAAACTGTCACTCTCAGTATTCGAATTTGGTCATTAAGGATTAGCCAATCACATCCTTTCGTATATCACGATCGTAATATACACATGCTTTTCAATCAGTCTTGTTTTTGTATTCTAATTATTGTTTGTCATAAATACTTCAATTTACTGACTATGTTTTGTGGAGTCATACAGCGTTTTTCCTTTTTTTGTAAGTAATTATCAAAAGTTAAAAGTGTAAGAAGAAAATATATGCAACATTGATAATAATAATATGCAACATTCATAAATTCTAGCAGTAGTTATATTTTTAACAAAGACATTTATAGCGTAGCTTTTCGTATAGCATATGTAATATATCACGCACTATAATTTTGTTTATTTCTAAATTTCGCGCAAAGCTACAAAAAAGTTACCTGCCTCGTAACCGTCTTATAATTTTGAGTTGATAGACTATAGGGAAGGCAGCTCATCAACAGCTCCCACTGCCAACTCTTTAACTACTCTCCTGGGATTGAATATTGGGATTTAACTGTCAGTGTTACAGCGCACTCAAGATCCCAAAGTGCGAAGCGAGATTTTTGTGGCAACGGGTCACAAACCACGAATTCTTGGATCCACTCTTTGAGCACGTTAATACCTAGGCCCACATCCAGCTCTACGGACTAACAATATCTTGGATGTTTCATTGTTAGATAAAATCAAACAATGTTAACAACTGCTTTTTGCTTCAGACGCGTGAATCAGGAATGTTTACGATACTGAGGTTATTTAAAAAGTCCCTTTTTTTCGGGATAGCTAGTGTTTGTTTGTTTGTTTTGAATTTCGCGCAAAGCTACACGAGGGCTATCTGCGCTAGCCGTCCCTAACAATACTTTCCTCCTGACTCGTTCCTTATTCATTTCCCGTGTTTCCTAAAGTTCTGTCTGTTTAGTATTTTTCTTTCCTAACAATACTTTCCTCCTGACTCGTTCCTTATTCATTTCCCGTGTTTCCTAAAGTTCTGTCTGTTTAGTATTTTTCTTTCCTAACAATACTTTCCTCCTGACTCGTACCTTATTCATTTCCCGTGTTTCCTCAAGTTCTGTCTGTTTAGTATTTTTCTTTCCTAACAATACTTTCCTCCTGACTCGCACTATTTTACTCATTTCTCGTGTTTCCTCAAGTTCTGTCTGTTTAGTATTTTTCTTTCCTAACAATACTTTCCTCCTGACTCGCACTATTTTATTCATTTCCCGTGTTTCCTCAAGTTCTGTCTGTTTAGTATTTTTCTTTCCTAACAATAC